TCTCTCTCTCGCCCTCTCTCTCTTTTTCTTTTTGAAATTTACCGACAAATGATAAAGAATACAAGACATGCTTTCTAGAATACTAAAATTTAATTCCTAACATGAATTTGCATAAAAATTTCAAGTTGTTAAGGAACATTTGTCAATGATTTTCTTCAAATTACTTTGATTAAAAAACCACCTAAATGATATGATAACTAAATATTTTCGAAAATGACGTTTTTTTCCAAAAAAAAAGTACTGCAAAATTGAATAATCTAATAAAAAAAAAAGTAAATAAATAAAAGGAAAAAAAGGAAACTGTTTCTTTCTTTCATCAACAGAAGAGAAATGAATGAATATGGGTTTTTGTTGAAAACCGCCACTCTTTGAACTATACCGCCACATTGAAATTATTTATGAAAATAAAAATTGTGGAAGAGGAGGGAATAAATTTTCCATTTTATGTCAAATTAAGTTAGCATACAGAAAAAAAACACAGTAAAGTTAATCCAATTGTTTGAAATTTAAAAAAAGAAAAATTGTGGAAATGAAAATTTCAAAATTTCATCCAGATTATTCAAATTTTTACATGGATCACTTAGCATATTAATACAACGATGGCTACAGATCTGATCGAATCATTCATGCATTTGATTATTCATTAAACAAAAAAAAATTATTCATCATGCTGCTAATTGTTTTATATTACTTTTCTTAATCTATCTTTGGCACATTGTTTATTTCTAATTTTTATCTTATTTCACAATTTTTTTTTCAAATAAAATTGTCATTTTTATAAAAGTTATCATTAAAATGATAATCATTGATTAAGAGATTGTTAACAACAATATATTATCATTTAACTAAAATATGGAACAATTTTTGTTTGCTTTTTGATTTATATTTTAAGCAAAAATGCATTACAATTGTTACTATTACTTCCGGCTGTCAATTATTCAATGCTAACAGTATACTAAAATAGGTGGGTATCATCCGAAAAGGGAGAGAAAGAGAGAAAATGGTAAGAGGATAATGTGTTGTATATGTGTGGGTATGGAAAGTTTGACAGTTTTTTCCAGTAAGAGCAAACGAATCAGTTGAATTTAGGAATATGATGAAATAAAATGAAAAATTTAGTACAGTGTATTCAACTTTTCTTTTTTTCTCTTCCCCTCCCTCTTTCTCCCGCTTTTTTTCTCTTTTTCTTTTTCTTTCACTCCAAAATTAGTTAATATTGACATATCTTAATCTTGTTCCTTGATTTAGCTAAAGCTTATGGTAGAATGGGTTTGTTAGAGGACAAGTAAAAAGGAGGAATTTGAAGATGACACATATTGAATAGGCCCTTACAGCTTGCTTATTTGCCGTTTGCTTGTTCCTTCATACCAGTGCAAACTAGCCACTGGTATATAACTATTCTAAAAGATCGTCCATTCTGATAGTGTCATTATGATTTTGATTCCATCTTTGATGGACTGACTAGTTAGTGGACCCTTTTTCCCACCTCTCTCATTTCTCCTCTTCTCTCGCTCTTGTTCATCGATGTCCCCTAACAGCTTGTGTCCCCAATGTGACGAGAAGAAAGAGGCAGAGAAGATTGACATGTCCGCAAAATTATCGCCGTAAAACGTCATACTGCTTAACATTAAAACACTAGGATATGAAGCGGGAATGGAATGGGAGAGGAAGAAAGGATGGGGAAATATTTAAAAAATGAAGTATTGGAAAATTTTCTTAAAAAAAAAAGAAACAAATTCAGAATTGGAAACTTACAAACAAACATAATAATTCATATTGTCTAAAGTTGAAAGGTCAAATTTAATAATCTTTTCTTTTTCTTCCTTTTTTTTTTTGCATCAATGTTTACTACCTCTGTTTATCTTCCCTCCTCTCCTTTCAGATCATCTCTTTTAATTCACCTAAATTTATACTGAATAAATATATTCTGATTGATAAAAAATATAAAAAATCTTAAAGTTCAAAAGTAAAAGTTTTAAAATCCCACAAGAAAAAAACAACTAAACTATGTTAGCATCAATCATTTTTATGATCGACGAAATTTTGTAATATTATGTTCATTTGTTTTTTTTTTTTGCATTTTAAGTTTTTAATAGTTTAAATGGGAGGGAAAATGTTTATTTTTTTTGACTGATTAACAAGAAAAAAAATTCCAGCACCACCAGATTTATCAATACCATCACAAACAGAATTTCGTGTTCCAATTGGGACGAAGCAGTTTCGACTAATATGTCCTGTCAAAGAGAAGAACGATGACCTTTTAATGATTCAATGGAAGAAAAACGACGAACTAGTAAGTTCAGCTGTACCTTATCGTTTTGTTTTTTGTTTTCTTCTCTTTAACTTCTTCGCTTTCATTTTTTCTCATTTTCTTTTTCCTTTCTCTCCCAAATATTTTAGGAATTTTTTTGAAAAAATTTAGAAATTCGGGAATATTATTGATTAATGTTAAATTTTACAAAAATATCGATAATTATGTGAGTCGGAACATTTAAAAAATGGATGAAATATGTGTAAAAGAAAAGATAATTTTCTTCTTTATCACTTCATTAAAATCACAATCCTTATTATCATAACATTCACCAATCCTTCTTAATAACCAAATACAAAATTAAACTTTATTAATTACTTCAAATATTTGAAAGATATTATTTTAACAGTTAAAATTTCATATTTTTAATATAAAATGCAACTTTCTTTCTAACAAAACAATGTAAGAGAAGTAACAATAGTTTGAGTATTTGTGAAGCAATTTTTAAAATGCTTCCATAGTTAATACTGCTAGCATATTTGATTGGAATAGTATTGATAATGCATCCAAATCTTATCAATCATCCCTCAAACTTCTATTTTTTCTTGCTCTTTTTCCCCATTTTTTTTTTATGCTTTATCCTTCTATACCTCATTAAACTGTCTTATATTTTCTGAATAACAGATTGACATACATATGCATGTTTGCACATATGCATTTATCATTTCGATCAATTTTTATTACTGCTGCAATAAGAGTTATGTCACTCAAATAGTAATTAAGAAGAAAAAAAGATTTCAATTATATGCATTGATCATTTATTCTGAAATGCCTTAACTAATCCGAAATTCTTGTTATATTCCTGAAGATTGGATTCGATTTCAACAATCGATTCAAATTGGCTCGATCAGATCGTGAGCTGAAAATTCGTAATCCTCAGCTATCGGACGGTGGAATATATCAGTGCCAAGTGGTTAATGGGTTTGGACATCGGGAATTGAACTTTACCATAATTTTTTACGATCCAGCGGTGGAGAATGAACAAAATGCTGACAGTACACTGACACTCAGTACTAATGGTAAATTTTCTTTTAATTATTCAATTCAAATTAAATTGAAATATTGCAATGATATTTTCGCAGCGAAATTTGAAAGTGTAAGTTCTATGAGTAAATGGTAAAAGTTGGTGCATTGTTAAATAGAAATAGTAGTCAATTGAAATTAACTTCTATTTACAATTAAGACGAAAGAAAATGATGTTACTTTTGGAGAGACAAATAGAGAATGAGAAAATCCGCAGATAACCATGCATCATAAGTGAAACAGTGATTGAAAGTTATTGCTTTGAAAGGATGGTGATGATTGACGAAGTTTACGAAAACATTTCAAAAGATTGAAAATAAGATAACAAAATCAACGATTTATAATGTTGCAATAATAAATAGGGTCATTTCTTAATTAGATAAGCAAGAATGCAAACTTCTATTGGTAATTTTAAATATCAATTTAGAATTCAAATGAGCTCCGTGAGTTATTTGATTGAAAGTTTTAGATGGTATCAAAAAATAAATTGAAATCATATTAATATAAAAAGTAAGTGAAATTTTGGAAAGGATAAATTTCTGTTTTAGTGAAATTTCATTTAGCTTAAAATATTTCAAATTCATCAAATGTTCCCAAGTAAACAATATTGTTTATCCATCTTAATCACTGCCAAATTTTATACATCATTATTGAATTTTATTAAATATGATAAATACGATAGGAAAATATATGTGGAATTTTATGAATTCAAATTATCTCTAGTTATATTGTTTGAAGAGAATGTTTGCAGCATCGCCACCAATATGGAAGAACGAAACAGAAATTCGAAATTGGATGATAAATCCAGTACGGATAACAATTGGTGGGGCATTATTGCTCAAATGTCCTGCAAAAGGAAATCCACTCCCGCGCATTACTTGGTTACGAGATGGCAAGACATTAGAACGAGGTATTAATGTGGAAATAGAGTTTAATTAGTGGTTATTATCGATTATCAGTATCATTTTTTAAAATTTCATTTCTAGTTTTTGAAACCTCAAGGAAATTATGATTCTCATTTAGGAAGCAAGCTATTATAATAAAAGTTATTCATTTATTTTCTAAGTGATAATTTTGAAAATTTTTTCGAAATTTCAGAAATCACTTATCATTATTCCTCAGCGATACTTTATCTAAGTGATGTACAACCTAGCGAAGGTGGTAACTATGTATGTAAACTGGAAAACGAACATGGTAGCATCGAAGCATCATTTCACGTTTATGTGGAAAATTTCTTCGAAGGTTTGGATGGTGAAAGCTGGTCTATTGATCAGACAAATGCGCAGCTTTACCCAGTTATTGATGAACCCTTCAATAACACTGTTCGAGTTGGTCGAACTGCTCAATTTCAATGCAAAGTAAGGAATCAACAACAACCCCTTATTAAGGTATCGTTATTTCTATATTTAAATAAATGACACTGTTAGACTGTTACTTTCACCATTATCAACCCTTTATCATCATTATGATATTGCTGAAATTGATATTCATTTTGATGTCAGTTCAGGTTCTAATATAAATTCAAGTGGTATTGATGTCAAGATAAATATTGTCATATGTGTTTAATATTTAACATTAAAATTAATGCTAAAGCTAAAAAGGAATGAACCGTTGTGAAACCATTGATAACCAAACCGGTTGAAACAAATCATTTAACAATGTGAAATGTTTATACGGAATAAGAATGGAACTATATGAAAGCATGATAACATTCAGCTGCTATCTAATTAGTTTGCTTTATTGTGATTGTAGTGGTTAAAACGGGTCGAAGATCCGAATGCAATTCGTCAAACAAATGCAAACGCAACATTAATTCATGCAAATAACATGCATCTTTTACTGCTGGAAAAACCGGAAACAACTGCTGAATTATCGGATGATGTAAGCCTAAATAGGCTTATTATTCCGAATGTACGATATGAGCATTCTGGAACATATCTTTGTGTAGTAACAAATGCTCATGGTGATATCGCTTATCGATCAGCATATCTTCATGTTATTGCAAGTTAGCTTTTAATATTTTTGGTTTTAAATTTTAACACAATAAAATTTTACTGCTGCTGATTCATTGACCTTTCATGATCACAACCAAATGCAAGTAAAAAAAAAAGAAGAGCCAATTAATACAGTAATTAATCAAAATAAATGAGTTACTTTCCAGGATCGGATCATGGAGTATTATCAAATCTTTATTTTTATGGTGGTATATTAATCCTAATTGTTGTATTTACATCAATAACTTATGCTGTTTATTTTTTGCGGAAGAATCAGGCTGCTAAAAATAGTGAATCAGCGCAAGGTATCACAACTACTCGATATTCATTTTCACTAAGGCCTCCACCTCCGAATCTTCCACCTCCAAAAGCTCCAGCATTACCTTCTGAACGACAACAATTGATGCTGAACAATCAGCCTTGTGATCGCTATACGATCAATTCAACAGCAACAACATACTATCCACAATTTGGAACTCCAGATAAAAAGTTGCAAAAGTAAGTTACTGTTGTTATTCATTTTTATTTTTTACCAGGAATCAAGTGATTTTTTAACATTTACTTCAACTTACTAAAACCAAATTAAAGTAAAATTGGTGGATTTAAATTATAAATAAAATCCTTTTGAAACTAGCAGTGCGTAGAAAAATACAGGACTGTATCATTGAGATATGAGAGAACAATATGACAAAATATCGGTAATGATGGAGGAATCTTAGTAGGTAAATATGAGGAGTAAACTAGAATTTGGAATTCTAAAAATCTAAAAATTCAAAAATTAATTGGAAAAAAATGTTTATCAAATTTTCAAATCTTTTTTGTTTTCAGGATAATAACGGAAAGTGGTACACGTCCAACACCTATACGACGTACGAATGGTAATGATACGAAATATCGATTAAAAGAAGATTACGTATGTTCACCCAAATGGATGCATACTAAAGCTGATAATATTGAAGTTGAAATAGATCAAAATTTATTAAAAGGCCGTTCCACGCATCGCTATAATCCGGTATCAGTAACATACGGTCGAATTGATAATATTGATCAACAACAAAAACCTTTCCTTATCACTGGTAATATACAAAAAAGGTGACCGATCCAAAGATTGTGGTATACATAATTTCAGAAAATATAACATTTGTATGTATAGTATTAGGTATTTCTTGCTATGATCATAAGCTTAATCCGACTATTTTCTTTTTTTTTCCTTTACACATGTATTATGATTTGTTGTTGCTAAACTTAACTCGTTGCTTAATCTGATAGATATAAATCAATCCGATGATAATTATTGAGATAATTTTGATAGTTTACAAATTATTTATTGATAATTTAGGTAAATTCAAAAGAAAATATCATTTTTTCGAATTTCGACACATAATTTTTGCAGGTTATTAATTTATACACAATAGTTTTTACCACCATATAAATTTGCAATTGATGTATAGCCTTTTTTTTTTCGTAAAACATAATCAATATGAAGGTTGAAAATTAATTTTAATTATTGTTAGTACAAATTATGCACTGATTTTAATTATATTTCAAAATTGAATGTAAACAAAAAAAAAATTTAAACTAACATCAGAAAGAAACTGAAATATATGCAAAATTTCGTTTTTCTAGCAAAAATTTTGAATCATTTAAATTTTCATCATGAAGAAAAACATTTAAAATATACCAATATTATCGGATACATCGTTTATTGTTTCAATCGTTCCTCCTCCGAACAACAAAATTCACCTTTTATCAACTATCAAATCATTCCATTTTCGTTCAGTTTATGATTAGTCCTTTATTTTTCACGATAAACAATTTATTAAGCCTTTTTTTCTTTTCAAAATATTTATGTTTATAATGGAAATTCGTTCTTCGTAACACTTGTGCTAATTAATAATTAATTGTAATTCCTTCCAAAAAATTTCTTCCTTACTTTGTTATTTTGTACGGTGACTTAGTATTTTTCATTTTTCTTCCTTCCTCTTTTTTTCCTCCTCTTCCCCCGCTTTTCCCGCCTCTTGAATGCCTGTATATGCTATAAATATTTGATTTATTTTGAGATATTATTGTGGAATTCCAATTTCAGTTTCAGTATATTTATTTATTTCTTAATGCAAATCAAATGACAAATGAATTGAAAAGTACGCATCTCATCACTGTATTTTGTTTTTGTTTTTTTTCTTTCTTTTTTTTTAAGTTACTTTCATTGGTAAGTTTCTAAAATTTCACTCAAACAAAAACGGAATTGTAAAAGTCCAAATAGACCAATACAGGAAAGTATTGCTTTCATCAAATTAGATTTCATCTCTTTTTTCCTTTTTTTTTTTTTTTTTACATCGGCAAAGTAGAAATTAATGATTACGTAAATCGGATGAAGAAATCGCAACTGTGGTATCATTTTTGAATTTATTGAATTTGTTACATTTTTAAAATGATTATGCTAATCGTTTATATATTTAAATTCAGAACAAATAATATTTGAGAAAATAACGCTGGAAGTTCCCTTTTTTTTAAAAGACCTCATTTTTCCTTATTTCTTTTTCCTTTCTTTACTTCTTTTCCAATTTCGAAATTTTGTACTGAAATTTGAAATATTTTTTAAAGCAATGCAATAAGCTTATAATTACCTTTCTGTTCAGTAGAAGTTCTGATTTTGTCATCATCAAAAGTGCACTTATCTTCTAAGCACATTTAAGGTTATAGCTTTTAAAGCTTCCCAGTATCCTAAGCTGACAAAAAACTTCCTCCCTTCAATCCTTTGCCTCATTCAACACTTCTTTTGCATTCTTCAAAAGAGAAAAGAAAAATTTTTTGTTAATTCATAGATAGATTGTAGTTTAAAAATTATTTCGCTTCCTTAATTTTACCCTTTTTCGATATTTAAAAAATATGTAATTATCGATAGTTTATCATTTAAACGATAAACTACCAGTTAATCGATAAACTACTACTCACACAAATCAATATTCATCAGAAAGAAATAAATAAAAAAACAAGGATGAAAATATTTGATTATCATGTAGTTTATCGATTAACTCCTTTAAAAATGTATTTTTCTGATTGAAGAGCTTTATATGTGTCATTATTTTCGTTTTATTTGAAATGAAGTATGTACGAGTAGTGCCGTTTCATATTTTTCCTTTTAATGTTCAATGTTTTTTATGCTTTTTTTTTAATTGTAAATTTGGTGCAAAAATATGAATAAAATATAATTTTAAACATTTATCATTTATCACAGATGCATAATAAATGATAATAGGAATTAAATGAAAAATTTTAAATAGAAAGAAAATCTTTGATTACATTGTTGATTTTTAATCCAAGTACAAGAAAGTTATACATAAAACATAGAGTTAAATTTTAAAATACTCAGGAAAATTTCTATATTTTTCAACGTTTCCAATCATTTCACTTTTTTTCTTTTTTTTTTCCAAAAGTGTAGAAAGGTAAATATGACAATGAATAGTCACACACGTGAGTTAAGTAACAAATACGTTTTTTTTTTTCCCGTGAATAGAATATAAGTAAAATAACAATAAATGAGCTAATTAAATCCTTGTAAATTATAGAATTCTAATGATAACGAATGAAATACCGCTAATATTTCAAATTTTGAAAGCTTTCCTAATCCTGATAAGTTGAAACATTTACAGATAATTTTCAATTTATTCTCTAAAGACATTTTTAGAATTATGCTGAATTTATCCTAACTATTTGCTCAATGTTGCAATGTTCCCTCGTTCGATTATAATTTGATTTTTTAAAATTATTCAAAATCCTAGCTAATAAATATTGCAACCTTATCATATCAAGGATCTGTTAAATCTCTACTGAATGATACAAATAAGCAGTTTGCTGTAATTTAGTTCATTTGTTATCTCTTGAAATAATCTTTAATAATAAAGATTTCCTTCGGTTCTGTATGCCATACCACAACAGGAAATCCATAAAGCTATCCCGAGAATCACTTGATTAGTATTATTTTATTTGGAACATTCGAGATTCCTTGATGTTATCCTAAATGATTATAATATTTAATCTGAATGGATGTATTGATTTCCTACAAATTTCTCAAATATAATTAAAATATATGGAGCATACTGTCCATGATAAAACATTTTGTTATATAAGTTTGAAATTTTTTCAGATCAACTAAAATTTTACCTGTTTCATCATTTTAAAGTTCCACTCCTCATATCCAATTGTTTCATAAAGCCTTAGTCTTGTTATCATTCATACATTCGATAAAGCCATACTCTCCTTATCATTCATACATTCGATAAAGCCATAATCTCATTATCATTTGTATATCCTGAAAATAACTGATTAATAATCTATAAGTGCTACTAATTATTTCAAATTTTACCATCCATTCGTGACAATATTACGTCAATTTAGCTTCAATGTCTGAAAGCAAAAATTCTTGTCGCACGCAAAAATAAACGATTTTCCTTCTTCTCTCAAAAAAAAAAAAACAATCACTCATGAACAATATCATTTTATCATTCCAACGGAAGACAAAGATATTCCGTTGATTGCAAATTATTTCAAAATCAAATTCAAACAAATTCAACAAATAAATGTTTTGCAAAAAAGATGCAATTATACGATATGTTATCATTGAAATTTATAGTTGATATTTTTAAGTTTAAATAATTCAAATCTTTCATTATTTAATATACATATACAAAAATGATTGATATTGAAATAATATTTTCATTTTTATACTGGTGAAAACTTTCTCAACTATCAACAATCATTAATAATAACTTGCGAAGATTAAACCTATGTTCACAAGCTGTTATGGAACGTTTGCCATTCGTGGCTGCATTCTTAAATTTTTGCGAGCAATCTTTTAGCTTGTTATTTTTAAACGAGCTCATTCCTCTTTTAAGGCCTTTGTTTCCAATAGCGCCCAACATATATAGACAAAATCTACACACACACACACACACACACACACACACACATGCACACACACACACACACACATGCACACACACACACACACACACACAC